CGACTCTCTACATAACAAGACTCAAAAAATGAGACTTGTTACAGAACACGACTCGTTACAGAGCATGACTCGTTACAGAACGCGACTCTCTACATAACAAGACTCAAAGAATGAGACTTGTTACAGAACACGACTCGTTACAGAGCATGACTGGTTACAGAACGTGACTCTCTACATAATAAGACTCGTTGAAGAATGTGACTCGTTACAGAACATGACTCGTTACAGAACATGACTCATTACAGAACGCGACTCTCTACATAATAAGACTCGTTACAGAACATGACTCATTACAGAACACGACTCTCTGCATAATAAGACTCGTTACAGAACGCGACTCGTTACAGACCACGACTCGTTACAGAACGCGACTCGTTACAGAAAGTGACTCGTTACAGAACATGACTTGTTACAGAACATGACTCGTTACAGAACGCGACTTGTTACAGAATGCGACTCGTTACAGACCGCGACTCGTTACAGATCTTTACGTGCTTACCGGTACAACAGGGAAGGAAACTGCGGACATTTTTGGTACGTAGAGCGGCTCGGGGTCCGAGGCGCCATCGTTCTTCCTCCACAGAGTCCGAACCCGCTCGGCAGGCTTGGTAACGTTGTCTGCCTCCTTCAGGACTACATGTTGAAGAAACACACAGACTATTTATCATCAGCCTGATGAAAGTTGCTTCGTTCTTGTTGGCTGATGAATCCAAAGCCTTACCATAAGCCATCTTCATCCTCCTCCCCTTCTTCTTCTTCTTCTTCTTAGCTCCTCCGTGGTGTGGGCTCGGGCTGGAGTCGCAGCTGTCCAGGTTCTTGAGGAGGACCACCTTCTGCTTGAGGCAGCTGCAGCCAAACATGCAGGCGGGCCAGCCGCAGTGGCTGGTTCTGGAGGTGTGGGACAGACTGGAGCAGATGCAGCCGAGCCTGCAGAACTCGTTCAGACAGGGGAGCGTTTGCCTCCTCTTCAGCTGGATCGGGGCGGTCGGGTTCTCACTCACAAAACCCTGAAGGGGCATGAAGAAGACCGGTAAGAGCAGCAAAGCCAGCTGCATTTTTTTAGCACTTACAGCTCAGAATTTTAAACATTTAATTTGTTTTTAATGCGGTTCTGTTCAAGATGTTATTTTCGGTCCTAAAATTATTCTGTTAGCCTGAAAACAAAATCTGAGCTTGTGAGCATGAACTGGAGTGTCAAAGTTCTTACAGTCTGGGTGAAGAGGGACGTCAACGCGATGGTGGCTCTCTCCTCCGTGATGCTGGTCTGGAAACAGCCCTCAAACGCCACACTGTCTTCCAGGTCCTTCTGTTTGAGCAGGGCCCGGGTCGTTCTGGGTGTGCTCTCCCTCTTGGGGCAGTTTTTCTTTGGACTGGTGGTCGGTGCCAGCTCAGAGTCTGACTCCACAGGAGCCAGGCCCTCAAACACATCTGGCGGCGGGGCCACAAGCCTGGAAGGACTGAGGGTGTGGGATGAGGTTCTGAATTTGAGTTTACTTTTCCTTTTAAAAATGGGCGGGTTCTGAGGCTGTGTGGTCTCAGTGAGGGGTCCGGGAGTCGGTACTGCAGGCTGTGCTGGTGCACTTGGACTGGACTCGGGTGTTGCAGAAGCTGGCCTGGGTTTGTTCGGCTTCGGGCCGGTAAGTTTCTTCACCGACCTCCGGAATGTTTTTGTGTTTTTGATCTGGGGTCTCTTCGATGGGGGGACAAATCCAGATATGAGGTCCGAAGAAGACGAGCCAGCCGTCTGTTTCTTCAGGATGTGGTCCAGAGTCCGAACGTAGCTGGTGCTGCTCACAGGGAGCTTAAAGACCGGCGGTTCCACCGGTGACTGGGAGAAGCTGGCAGCTCGCTCATCGATCAGCTTTGCCTCATTCTCCAGATACTCGTCCAGCATGTCGCTGCAGAACGCCGACAGGTTCTTCTTCTGTGAGTCTGAACTGGGGCCAGCTGTAAGACGCAGCACAGGACCATTAAAGCAAGTGACGTTTAAAAACATCATCCGGGACATGAGACCGGATCCAGAATCCTATCTGCTGAAGGACTTTTCTATTTGTTCTTGACTGATGTTGTCTGAACGCTCAGTAAACATTCTACCGTATTTTTCGCCGTATAAGTCGCAGTTTTTTGCATAAATTAGCATGCCTGCAACTTATACAGCAAAGAGACGTATTTATGTTTTTCCCCAATATTTATAACCCAATTTTTGGCTTAGATCTGACGATTTCATTCATTCTGACATGGAAAATATTGAACACTACCATTTTTAGCCACTAGAGGGCCCTTGACTAACATGGCAAGCCAAGTGCCCCATTAATAGGTAAACGTGGCTATTAATGAGACACTTGACTTGCCATACTAAGCCACCTTCCTCTCACTCCGAAACTCCTGGAGCAAACGTCAAATCAGCTGCATTTCGCCACGCCGCCCAGGCGAAATGCAGCTGATTTGACCATTAAAGTGCATTTATTAAGGAACAGTTAAACTGAGACACACCTCTATTATAATGTTGATTTGATCATTCTGCTTCAGCTACTAGCTCTACTTTTAGCTTTTAGTTAGCCAGTTGCTTCGTTTAGACTATGGCAAGCCATCTGCTCCTTTTAGTTGGCCTTTTGCTGATTGTAGCTTTTAGCTAGTGCTACTTTTAGTTTTTGGATAACCTGTTGCTACTTTTAACTTATAGAAAGCTTGTTGCCACTTTGACCTAAGATAGTGCTGCTTTTAGCTTGCATTTACTTCTTTTAGCTGCTCAATGTTACTTTTATCTAACTTTTTGCTGATTTTAGCTTTTAGCTTTTAGCAAAAGTTATGCTACTTTAAGCTTGTAGACAGTTACTTTTAGCTTATAGAAACTTTTTTGCTACTTTAACCTAGCTTCTGCTACTTTTATCTAACTTTTTGCTAATATTAGCAAGTTATCCCATTTTAAGCTTTAAGATATACTTTTAACTTTAAGCAAGCCTTTTGCTACTTTTTTGTTACTTTTGCTACCTTTAGGTGGCCTACAGTTATTTTTAGCTAGCCTTTGGCTACTTTTAGCTTGTGTTTTGCTAGTTTTACCTAACATTTACAACTTTTAGCTGGCCATTGCTACTTTAACAAAGTTTTCTACTACATTCAGCTATCATTTGCTACTTTTAGCTTAAGGCAAATGTTCTGCCACCTTTAACAACCCTTTTATTTAATACTTTTGTTGGATTAACCTGGCCCCTGTGTACAGTTTTGTTCCACCACATGTACCACATGTGGTGCATATGACAAATAAAGAACCTTGAATCCTTATTACTTTTAACTAGTTTTAGCTAACATTTGCTACTTTTAGTTTGTATTCCCTACTTTTGGCTGTTAGTTCCTGTTCTGCTTCTTTAAAAATAAAATAAAAATAAATAAATAAAAAACTCTGTTTCAACTGTTTTTCATCAGGATAACTTTGATTCTGCATAAGCTAACATTTGATCGGATGCTAAAGAGCTTTGGACGCCGCTCTATGACTTCCTGTAATGACTGACGGCGTGTCCTAAAGCACCTTCAGGTTTGGGCACAGAGCTGGGCGTCGTCTCTGGCGGAGTGAATTTTTCTCTCCAGCCTTTAATTTGAGTCACATCAGTAGTTTTTCCTGTTCTGGACAGAAAATCGGCCGAAGAACCTGGAAATCAACGAAAACAGAATTAACTTTGGGCACCTTTGATTCTTTCAGCAGCTTTAAAATGATTTTTGGGTTAAATTCATCGCAAGAATAAAAATCTCCTCACCTTCAGATGAAGATGGAGTTATCGGCTGTACGCTGGCTCCAGGAGGGGGAATGGGAAGACGGACTCCCAGGTACTGCAGGTCAATGGACAGAGCCGGATCCAGCAGAGTCATCTTAAGACCGACTGAGTTCATGAAGACACAAGATGGGAAATGTCAAAGCTGAATTCTGATGAAAGAAACGGATACAAGTGGACGGAGCGTACCTTCCTGCAGCACCGGGTGGATCACCTGTCTGTGCTTCATCCCTTCCAGGTCTTTCAGAAGAATCTCCTGGAAGGCAGCAATCCTTTGCTCCAGACTCTCTGGAGAAATTGAGCAGAGTCTCATCTCAGAGTTCAGTTCATCAAACAATCAAGAAACCCCCCCACAAAACTCTCAAATCCTGGTTTCATTTATTATCATTGTTGGAACGTAACCCCCTCCCCCCAAAAAACAAACCAAGACAATCTTTACTCGAATATGAACACAAGAAGTTGTAAAACTAAAGATGGGTGGTACCATCTATCACTGGTTCCTCAGAGGTTCGTTGTCCGTCAGGTGGCGTCTGAGGTCGAGGGTCCGTCTCCTCACAGGTGTCAACAACGTGCAGTCTGAGGGCCTCCTGAAATATTGTTTTGATTTGAATTCGAGGATTGTTACATTTTAAAATAAATCTTTTTACGTTTGCTTAGAAACGAGCTGTTTTCATCTTTTATTTTCTGTCAGTAAATAGTAAAAGAACACGAGCGTCTTTAGCGATGGCTTTGAAATATTTGATTTGTGCATAAATGTCCAGATAAACGTGATGCTAATCGTGTTAGCTTTTCAATGGCATTTTCAAAGTTAAGTTAGCATATATGCTAATTGTTGGTCAGCAGCTTGAGATTACCATATTTTTTGGCCTATACATTGCTATTTTTTGCATAATTTGCATGCCCTGTGACTTATACGCCCAAGCGACGTATTTATGGATATTTTGCCCATATTTATAACCCAATTTAATACATTTAATAAATTCCCAATATAATAATTTCGTTCCACCACATGTACCACATGGGGTGTGAATGACAAATAAATAACCTTGAATCCTTGAATCCAGTTTTTGGCTGAGATGTGACCGTTTTCATTCATTCTGACTGAAATATTGAACACTACCATTTTTAGCCGCTAGATGGCACCAAAGTAGTATGGCATGCCGTTGAATCATGTAATAGGTAAAAGTGGTTATTAATGACATAATCGACTTGCCACAGTCTTCCACCTTCATCCAGCTCGCCTGGAGCAACCGTCAAGTCAGCTTCATTTTGCTGCACCGCCTCGGCGAAATGCAGCTAATTTAACCATTGAAGTGCATTTTTTAAGTAAAAGTTCAACTGAGACACACCTTTACTATAACGTCGAGCAAACAAATAACTGTTTAAGGTGCTTATCTTGCTAAATTTCTACGAAATGTGCAGCGTTCCTCCTTATTGATTTCCACCATCTGCGCGCACCCGGAGCACCGAGGCAGCAAGTACTTTTGAAATACAGCTGATTTGACCATTAAAGTACTTTTATTAAGTAAAAGTTCAACTGAGACGCACCTTTACTATAATTTCGAGCAAACAAATAATTGTTTTTAGGTATTTATCTTGTTAAATTATTGTTAAAGCCCTCCTGTGCACGCCCCAACGGCCGCCATTTGGCGACAAACGCGACGCATCAGCGGTGACGCATAATGGATGTGACGTATACGGCGAAACAACGCATTTATGGATTTTTCCACTTAATTAGACATATTTGGACTGATGCGACTTATGGAGAGGAGCGACGTTTACGGCGGAAAATACAGCAATAGGATTTTTCTGTATATGTTATTCAATAACATATGCTAATAAGATGTACGCGATGATAATGCTTACACCTTATTAGGCATAAAAGGATAAAATTGGAGTTTATTTGTGTCAAACAAAACATAGTAAAGGGACAAATAAACACAAGTTGTAAATTTTGTATTTGCATATTTCTGTCACTTGCTGCCTCCTGAAGTATATTCATGAACTTGACGATCATTTTATTATCTCAGCCCTCGGAGTTGTAATTCAATCATGATGTGTCTAAAGAGTCTCATCCCTAATTTTTGCCCGTTCTTTGCAGAGGATTTACTTTTAGTTTTACCTTAGATGCAAACGTGACAAAGAGCTGCTCCTCCACCTCCTCCAGGTTTGGCTGCAAACTTCTGTAGTCGTCCATGTTCTGGTTCATGTCCAGCCTGGCCAGCTTTGTGGACTTGAACTTCTTCCTTTTGACCAGTTTGCGAGCCGGAGCCGGCGCCGGCTGCACCTGCGCCGGCTGCACCTGCGCCGGCTGCACCTGCGCCAGCTGCACCTGCGCCGGCTGCACCTGCAGGGAAGGTTCCTGTGTTTCCACTACGGGCGGAGGCGAGCAGGGAGCAAGAGTCGCCTCTGTGTTTGCAAACTCCTCGCCGATACCAATATCGACAGTGGTGGAAAAAAAGTGCACGAGATCCGAGAGGGAAGGGGCCGGGGACAGTCCATTCTCATCTAAGGAGAACGTGGGGGACAGAGACAGCTGAAGGTTGAGGGGGGACAACTCTGCGTGGAAAGGCAGCGATGGTTCAGTCTCTTGAAATGATGGTGCAGACTCGTCGGTGGATGCTGAAACGTTAAGACAAGGCAACAATGGTGGCGTAACAGACTTTAGAGGAGAGGAATGCTGTGAGGGCTGAAATGTGAAGGAAGAGTCGACAAACGTCTCGGGCGGTGGTAATACTGTGTGCCACTTAAAGACGGATGAGGGCTCATGGTGCTCAGGGTCTTGAACGGACTCAGCATTAGCTGCTGCCGAAGAAGCGGAGTTGATTTCTAGCGATAAAGAGGCTGGCAGTGGAGGTAAGGGTTCTGGAGAACTTGCAGGAGACAAAGGCTCAAAGCCAAAGGAAGAACACTCTGGGTCAAAGAGCAAGGACTCAGTTTTCAGGGCATCTGAAGGCAACGTAGAAGATTCCTCCACTGGTGTTGTTGGAGTGTTTGGGGCAGATACTGTATGGAGAGGTGGGGACAAACGGGAAGGTTCAGATGAGGTAGAACACGTTGAGAAAGATACTGTAAGAGAACAAAACGGAGTTTCTGAGTTGGAGAGCTCAGGTTTATCACCAAGGACTTCCAGCTCTGAGCTTAAACTTTCAGCTTTTGCAGCCACAAGGTTCTGTGGACTCGAGGGTCGTTGAGCTGCCTGTCCGGGAACATTTAAAACCCCTTCACCTGGATCGGGTCTGCAGCTTTTTGCTGCTTCACGATGAGAAGCTGCAGCCGCAACGTTGGCTTCGGGTGGAGAGGTGCTCTGATCGCTGCTGCTCTTTTTATGTTTTGTCGAATGCTGCTTTAAAAAAAGAGCAAGTGCCGGCAAAGGCAGTCGAGCTGGACGTTTCTGGCGCTTCGTGGTTTCTGAGCTAAACGGCTGCCCTGCGGAGGGAGCAGCATCGCCTGAACAGTTCCTCCAGACGACGCAGGGAGATGCTCCAGAATCAGGAGGATGGTCGTCGTCTTTTATTCTCCTTGAGGTTTCAACAGTTTGGTGTTCCTTCGTGGGTGAACGAGCAGCTGTATCGTCTCTGTGACCAACCTGACAGTTTGTCGTGGTCTTAGTGTTACTTTGTGCTGCTTTGACAGACGGGCTGTGATCAGCGCCGCGCTGCTCCTCACTGCACCTCTGCAGTGAAACGTGAGCCTCACAGATCAGCTCAGAAATCAACTTCTGAGCTGATTGTGAACTGCTGCTGTAGGAAACAAAAAACTCATTAGTGACATCAGTCTAGTGATGATTATATGATGATTATAGTCATTGGAAGAATAAAGTTTATCTCAGTGTTAAAGAGATTTATGTGTCAGAACTGAACAAAACTGGTCTTTACCAGGTTTTACATGATTCAAATCTAACCTCAAGTAAACAAAAATGCATTTCTTAAATAAGACGTTAAATCGGAGTAAAAAAAAAAAAAAAAAACTGGGTCCAGCCCCGCTGCTTCAACAGGATCTCAGAGGTCCAGGATCAGCCAGGAGCTGCTGATCAACTGATCCTCCTCAGTGTGACCACACCTGCTCTGGGTCATACAGGTGTGTGGTAACACCACCCCAAGGTGGTAAACTTTATTAAAAAACTTTAGCATTGCAAGGCAGCGGGTGACATGCTACTTTCATTAATAGCAACCCTAATTCTGAAAAAGGTTGGAACGTTATAGAAAATCCAATAAAAACAGAAAGCAATGGTTTTAAATAACATAAAACCCATATTTTATTCACAATGGAACATTAAAACACATCAAATGTAAACTAAGAAGTTTAAACAATTTAAGAAAAATTAAAAAGGACATTTTTAATTTGAATTCTGCAACATGTTTCTTTAAAATTGTTCCAGAAGGACCTGAAGAGACCAGGTGTTTGAGGTTTTGGAAGGAATGTTGTCCCGTTCTGGTCTGATGGAGGACTCTAGATGTCCTTCAGTCCTGGATCTTCTCTGCTGGATGGGAGCAGATGTTGTACAATACTTTTCTGTATTGAAGTATTTCCAGATGTGTAAGCTGCACATGCCAGAGGCACTAATGCACCCACATACCATCATAGAGGCAGGCTTTCCATGATTTTCAAAACAGCATTTTAAATTTGGATTTGTCTGACTATAAAATATGGTGGCCCCTGAGGGCCGGAAGATCCCAACCATCCAATATTGACTTTCAGCTTCAACCTATGAGCTCAGATTTCTACAGATTCTACTAATCTGTTGATAAAATTATGAAATGGAGATGAAATTGTGCATGTTTGTATTGTAAACATTTGATTACTATGTTCAATTGTGAATAAAGTATGGGTTTATGGGATTTGCAAAACACTGCATTCCGTTTTTATTCACATTTTACATGGGTTGTATTTCTGCTAGAACAACTTCCCAGGAACCAAACAGCAGTTTGAAAAGATAAAAGTCCCTTCCAAACATTAAAAAGCATAATCCAGATTAATTTAAAGAGTTGGTATCAGTATTTTATCTGTAGTAGATTACAGTCAAAGCAATATCTGTATGATATACCAGCCTGAAGTTATATTTTTATAACCATTATTGTGTTCTCTGGCACGGTTAAAGCAAACACATAGTCCTTATAACCTTCAGTTTGTTTGGCCCAAAATCACTGGAACCAAAACATTTTATACCATTTTCAAACAGGTTATTTGGTACTAATTTAAAAAATAATGTTTTCCATAAAAGTGTCACTTACCTTGGACTTTTTCCTGGAACAATAGCAGCAGAAATATCAGTTTTAGTCACAGTTTTTTTGTTAAGCTCTTTGGGTGCTGAAGGTTTCGAGTCTCCCGTTTTAGAACATTTAGGTTTATGGTTGGCGAGCAGAAACTTCAGGCTTTTCTTCACAGGGTGCTGCTCAGCGACCGCACCATCTCCATCTTTGTTCAACTCTTTGCCTGCATTTGTTTTGAGTTTTACAGACAACAAATTCAACCCGTCCTCTTTCAGTCCTTTAGCGAACGGGTTGAAGTTAACCTTCAGTTGAGCAAACTGAGGGTTCTGGTATGTAGTGACTGTTATGAACTCAGTCTGAGGGAACGAGAACGTGAGAACATTGGGACTGTTCAGTCTTATGTCTTTAACTGCCTTATCCGTCTCCACCAGGTGCAGTCTGGGTAAGTAGCGGTGTAGTGGATGAAGGATGACGTTCCCCTCTTGGTCCGACGTGTTGTTGGTGAGCTTTAGCTTGTAGAAGGACACCGGACTCTGCATCCAGTGTTGACCCATAGCAGGGGACTCTGGATGAATGAAAGGATTAGTCTTTATTTGACACTCTGCTTTTCTGGACTCTTGCCAGCTCTCACCAGTCCACCGGTACTGGCTGTTGTCTAAAGGCTGGATGTCCATGACCAGAGCGTATTTCTTGCATGGCTGCAAGCCAGAGATGCGAAAGCGACAGTAAGGGAACATCCTGCTGCCTTGTTTGGTCAGAATCATCTCCGTTCTGCACCTGAAGCACTCGTTCCACATGCTGTTGTTGTCCAGTGTCACTCTGACGCCTTTACAGACGCTGTCAGGTGAGATGTTATCAGTGTTCAAACAGGCAGGATGGTTAATACCCGTCCTCGCGAAGGCCTCCTTAACTGCGTACATGTTGTGTTTAAAGTCCGTCTCACCACCAAACACACGGACGCTCTGAACAGTCTCGCTCCGGTTCAGCTTCTCAGGTCTCTGAGATGTGAAGCACACAGGCGGGGGGTCGGCTGCTGCCACTGCCGGGGAACTGACCCCATCTTTCAGGAACACCATGCTGTGCCGGGTCTTTGTAGAGGCCATGAACAGGTGCCAGAAGGATCCCGCTTCTCTGCACAACAGTTCAAGATGGCATCCTGTAAAACAAGAGCCAGACTGAGTCACCAACGGGGGGACGTTCAGCTTTGTGCATGAGTCAAACCAGTGTTCAGTGTGAAATATAAAGTATATTTGTGTAAATGTTACGTATTTGTATTTAACTGTACCTAGATGTTTGTCCACAGCTGATTAACTTTTGTACACAATCCAGTTTAAGATGGCCAACACAGTTATTTGACCATAGTCAACATTAAAATGGCTCTAACCTGTCTGGTTTCCAAATATTGAGGTACAATTTGATGTGGTAGTAGCTGAGAGTCATAAGACACACTGGTGTAAATAAAAATTGTGCAAGCTCTCATGAGATCATGTGTGAGGCCGTGCATAGCTTTAATAAAAGGTATAACGTGGCGTCACCTTCTCAAACTTTCTGACTCGTGGAAATTAAATTGAGAAAAGTTCGAGACGAGTTCTGGATGCAGACGGAAAATTTTACTTTGAGGGTTGGATTTGTACAAAGATTTTGAGACATTTTGGAAATTAGCATGCAAATACTCTTATATTTGTCGCCAGCAGTCCCAGCCCAGTAAGATCCAGACTTTTGACTGAGATAGTACCGTTAAGTTTCTTTCAGCTGTTCTTTTCTTCAAAGGTTACCACAATGAGAGAACTCACATAAAAGGTTTGATAAATTGTTTTACGCCGGATGCCCTTCCTGATGCAACCTCACGGCACTGACCACCAAGCTACAGCCGTCTATACTGCGTAAAAGCAACAAAAGCAAAAATAAAAAATGGTTGCCGCTGCTGCTAACAAGTTTTCACAAGCAAGTCAGCCATTTTTGATAATGAGGTCATGTTTTTTGGACTTTCCAAGTCAACTTTGAGGAGTGTTTCAGGTGATTTTTACAACTTGGATTTAGAAGTTTCAACTACACAACAAAACGCACTAAAAGTGATGTGATCACAGCGTGAACTGGATTCCTCAGAGCTCCTGACTACAGAAAACAAGGAGAAAAGCTCCGGAAATTACCAGAAGTACATGACCTTCAGCTACAAGAAACACACCACCAGGCTGAAGTTGTAGTTTTTTTGTTTAGCTTCTATTAATATTTGCAAATGGACAATTAAAATGGCATTTTACTCCTCGGCTAAACCTTTCTTTGAGCGTTTTGTTGCAGACCATCAGGAAAATCTCAGCCTGTGTGACTGGAAATGATGTCATCTCTAGCCACAAGAAATCACCAAGAAAAAGTTGTAGTTTTAGCACGTGGACAGGCAACAACATAGATTTGTTCACGAGTGCTGGTTTGAAAACTTGTTGTGTTGATCTTTGTTGATGTCATCACAGTAACACCAAACATTATACAAAGGGATTTCCCAGCACAAGAGCAGAGGAAAAATAAGGGTAAATTTTTAAGGAAATTGTGGAAGAAAATAAAACAAATTATTATTTCAGAAGACATAAATACGTTAGAAAACTTGGATTTAAAAAGGTAGATTGTGAAGGATAGGAAGATTATACGCCATATTAGTTACAGAGAATATGCAAGATGTTCTCGTGGAGTTAAGGCAAATCACTTGTTTTGCACTAAAGCTTGACTCATTTTGCAGTACAGGACATTTACTGTATATATGTGTATATATTTTATGGCAAGAAGAGAGGGGTTTATACCATGTAGCGGATTTCATTTTCAAATATGAATACGTATATCTGGCGGTTGAAGCTAGCGTTTGTGTCAGATTACGTATTTCCATTGGACATTTACCCGCATAGCTCCTCACAAATTCCAGGAAATACAAAATACACACAAGTAGCCATTTATTAGAAATGAGAAGAGAAAGTATGTAAAACAAAGACTGCGTTTGTATTGGTTCGACACATTTACGGCTATAAATAAAACAAATCTAAATCCACAATAACACTTTAACTACAATCTAACAAAGTAAAGTCAGGTCCTCTAGGCAGATTCTTCTTGTTGAACAGAAGAAAACTTTAATTACAAGTTTTCTTTGTTGTTCTTTGGAACCATACGGTGCCGACACTAAACGTTGGCCATGGCGGTTTCGAAGCAAACCAGTAACCATAAGAAGGGTTTATCAAAATGTTAATCGTCTCAAAAAATATATACAAAAAGCTGTGTACCTACTAGTGTTGAATTGAAATGTTTGTTAGCTCTGTGCTGCTACATTAGCTGGTGACTGTAAACGTCACAGTGTGTCAACACAAGTTACTAAAAGCAGCAAAGGACACAGGGAATGATCATAATGGGTCTCTGTGCTGTGCTTTCTGTAGGTTAAACGTCGAATATGTTACGTTTTATATGCTGTTAAGCACAAGCACCTAGCTAGCTGCAGGCCAGAGACAGAGCCCAGTAATGGCTGCTCATTAAAACCAAACATTTACCAGCGCGTGCTCCCGTGTCTGCACGCACATTACCTTCTGCCAACAGGAGCACATCGAGTGTGTGCCCGATGCTACACAAATCCGTCCTAATTCTCCGTTATTCCATAGTTTCCACACGCGGATCTTTTTTTGGTGGGGCAAAAAAAAATATATACCGCGTCCGTTTTTTCCTCGTTACGTCACCCGCCCACTTCCAGCGAGAACGCGCAGACTCAGACGCCATCTTGCCACCTGGACGGAGCGTGTTCTAGGAACTGCGGAGATCCTGCGGCGTCTTCTGCTCGTCGTGCGTCTCTCTCTCGTTCGGACGTGGGGCTCGGGTTCCGTCAGACCAGCAACAAACAAACCGCTGGATCCGTAATGTTCTCCGCGTGTCCAGAACAGAAAGGGGAGCCTGACCCAGTCCGGATGGTGACGGTGGTTAAACATGGTGGACTCGATGTGTTCGTGCTGCTGTGTCTTTTGTTGTTTGTGAGTTTCAGAGCTTTCAGAGTGAGTAATGTTAGGTAGCCTCGTGATGGCCGTGGAGGAGCGGGGCGGTGGTGGTGGCTTCTAATCCATTATATACCTCTTTTACAAACCAGTACCGGACCCGAAGAACGAGAAGGAGCGGTCGAAGAACATGGAACGGTTCCTTTGTTTCGTGCTCCTTTAGGCCACAGATCTATGGAACCCTGTAGACGCCAACAGTAAAAACAAAGTGACACGTTTACCTTTATGGTCAGGGTTAATAATGTGTGTTAACTACAATGTCAAGTCATAGAAGGTAATTTTGTACAAAGCCCTCAAAACAATAAAAATTTGGTCAGAAGCGTGCGTACGTTTGAGCAGTAAGCCGCATGCGCATTTTGTAAAATAGTCCCATCTGCTGCAGGTGTCGTTTTCATTTTGGACATTTAAATACTAAATAATCGTGGATGATAAATCAAGATTTCCTTAAATTTGGGAGATCGGCCGATACTTGCATGAGAAATCGATTTTTATTTTTTTAGTTTTCACAGTTGTCTGAACTTCATTTATATTTCAGAGCACTACCGCACGGCCAGTTAAAACACGTTTGTATTTCTAGGATATTGTTCATTCATTCAACCTTTATTTAGACCGGTAATTCCCATTGAGCCTCGAGGACTCATTTACAAGAGAGACCTGATTTCAACAGAATGATGACAACAATAAACAGTTATAAAAAGTCATACTCCAGTTTTTTTATTTATTTAACAAATATAGTTATGTTTTTCAATAAAATAATGGAAACTTGAAGGTGCATTGTGACCTTATAACACCTGACAGTGTCGCTCATAAAACTAAATCTGAATGGACAGACTTTTTAGAAATCGGTGCACCCCTTGTACTTGTACTTGTAAATGAATGGGACCGTCTACAAATTACACAACAGGAATTTAATGTTCAGTAGTTTAAACAGAATTAAATGAGATTTCACTTAAATCTGATAAAGCCTTCATATCAGTTCTGAAGCTCGTAGATTGGGCTTTTTTTGTGACAATTTCCCTTCAGATATTAAGCAGGACTTTAGCGTTTTGCTTTAAAATGTTTTTTAAATCACCTTTTCTGGCTAATGTTTAAAACACTTGAGTCGATTTGTTCGTTTAAAAGATTACCGTTTTTCTTTTACTGTTATTTTGCCATGGCTTTTAATACATAGGTAGTAATGTACACTTTAGTTGAGTGTTTTTAAATGTGCTTTACAAATGATTAAAGTTAGAAAATGTGCATTTCCATAACTATGGAGAACTTGTTTTACATTATTGACGGTTAAACATTTGTCGAGTATGGAGTTTTCATGTTTTGATTCATATCAGCCCCTATCGTCTCTTCTGCATTTAACAGGAAGTGGTGTATGTTAGTACTGGGTTTCCCCTACCATTATACAAGAGGGCGGCCCGCCCTGCCTACCGAACCAAACTCCCACCCCCGTCGACAACTGCCAGCACTGACGAAGCGCTAAGCTAGTGGTGCGCAATACAGGTGCGCTAGTTTAAAAGCTAGTGTTAGTGCTCATTTTCCTCATGCTGAGCCATTTCTATTCATTTCATTTTTTTTGTTCGGGTTGAAGCAGCCACTTCAGTTTCAATCCGAACAGAAAAATCCACGGCACAACTACGCAAGTGCGTGGTATCAGCGGTAGCAGGCTAGGCTAAGCTCCAATGCGCGGTAAGTTTTCGCTTCATAACGAGTGCCCACGACCGTCGGAACGTGACTGAACAAGCTTTCACAAGCGAAGAGGAAGCAAATGGCATAATTGATAAGAGAGGAAAGATTTAATTTGGCGGTGTGGTAGTGGTTTGGCTATCTAAGATCCAATAAACTGCAGGTTGTGCTGCAAAGTGTGCCAGAAAGTCATTCCATCCAGAGATGGGAATACGATTAACTTGTTCCATGTTTCCACTCGATGGAATATGCTGAGGGTCAGAAGATGAAGCACAATAAAAGTTTGAGCCAACGTGTCCCTGAAATAATACTCCCAGCTGTATCAAGAGAAACGTCTGCGTTTGTTGCATGGGTTAGGTTATGTTGTTTAAAGTTAAAACCGTTAATATTGACAAAGTTGAGTTTTATGTTTGACTGCGATTTCAAATTTCTTTGAAGGCTAAATACAAATAAAAGGTGAACATTAATTCATTTGTACAGTTTTGATGCTTTGATATTGTTTATGTCTATCATAATTATATCGTTATCGGACGAAATTAAGAAATATGTCGTGATAAAAGTTTTGACCGTATCGTCCATCCCTAGTTCCGTGTAGCTGTTATTGTGTGGAATATCTTCTTTGCTTTACAGCACCCTCAGTGGCTTAACGTTTGTTAACGAATTCAGATTTGGCTCCCCCAATGACAGTATAAATTTCCATCCATCCATTATCTTAACGTGCCTCTTCCTTTTTGGGTCGCAGGGGTCACTGGTGCCCATGTCCAGTTATCACTGTGCAAAAGGCGGGGTACCATCCTGGACAGGTCACAAGTTCATCAGGGGACACATAGAGACAAACGAGACAAATAACCATTCACTTTCACTCACACCTAGGGACAATTCAGAGTTACCAATCAGCCTAACATATGTTTTTAGTCTGTGGGAGGAAATTGGAGTATCCCGGAAAAAAAAGGAGCATGAACGGAGACAACATGCAAACTCCACCCAGAAAGTTCCCAAGCCGGGATTTGTACCGGCTACCTCGCAGAGAGGCAACAGCTGTACCATGTAAGCCACCATCCCAGTATAAATTTAGTCATCAGTTATTATTTTGAAGGGAAGGCCAAATACGTTTAGCTAGCATGTAAAATTTTTGCACTTGGTTGAAAATTTGTCCATGTCAACTAGAGTTGCGCTCGGGTCCAAAGAATCCGACCCAGCCCGCAGCCATCATCTCTGAACCCTACCGGATTCGACGAATTGACAGTAATTACAGGTCCGAACCCGAAAAAAATTTTTAATTAAGCTTTCTTTGCTTATATCACTGACTTATTAATGGTTGGCGGATGCGCACAGCTGAGTAAAAGGGGCAGAAGATCGGAGCTGAGGAGCCATCAAAGCGCATTAAATGCTTCCCCTGCTTCTGCCTGCAATGGACCCTGATCTGACATGTCGGATATTTTGGGATCTCACCTGTTTGGGTCGTTGGCCACACTTGTCCTTTGAGTGCCGCGGCTGAATGAACGTCCATTCACGTGGATCACTGGCAGTAGTCTATCTGAAGCTTAACTGAACTTTTTACCTCTTTCAACCGGCCGCAAGCGCGCGGTCAAATGGCCACGTGTGGCAGGTGAAAGTATGGCAAGCCATGTTGGCATATAATTGGATGGTCGGCTGACGCAATAAAAAGCCCGACACCGGCCCGCACATTAGGCACATTATTATGACCTGGGCCAGGTTCGGGTTAGAAATGACAGCTCTAATGTCAACCACTCTGGATTTAGGATAGCAAGTTTCAAAGCGATTATATTTTGAACTTTAAAAAAAAACTCAAAATAAGGATTAGCGGACTTTTTGATGTAACCAAAAAATATATAAACGGGCATGCCCAATACAATCGGATTCAAAACTAGAGAACATAAATGGAAAAACCTCAAAGCGCCCCCTATAGGTGAACACGTCAAAGTAATTTTGTAGGCCACATAATGTAGTTACTGCCATGTACATATCCAAAAACTCCTTGCAGTATGACTTCTATACGTCGCTGCTAATTTTGCTAGCCAGGAATATTTGTATTCCTTTATTTTCATCGATCCAACAAATCAATGGAGTGGATGGGTGTTGCAATGAAGTTGTAGCTCAGTCACCTTACCTTGTTTTTTTGTTGTTGTTGTTTTTTAAACAGGTGTGCTGAAAATGGCACCCCATTTGAAAAATCATAGTTAAGGAACAACTTGGTGCGTTACTCACACAGAAAAGCAACAAATTAAAGAACAATGCTATTGACTTGGTAATTTGTCTTGTCAAATACACACTTTTGGGTACAAAAATAATCGGACTGGGATCAAACGCTGCCCCATTGGTAACTTCCTGTAGTACACTTTGGAAAAGTGATTTATCCAGTTAATATTTATTACCAAAAATACACTTTTTAAAAACAGAATTTATACGTGATAGTGGTCAATATGAGACACATCTATAACCATATTCATAAATTTTTAACTAATGAAGGTTGGTATGGTAATTTGAAAATGCACAATATGGTAAGTAAAAGTATGAAATGCCACCCTCGGTACGAAAAGGCAACGCATCTGCCAGCCAAAATAATGCAACCCTGCAGTGGACTGAAGACTTATCCTGCCTGATGACCACTACAAACAGGCACCACATGGTTGTGATATTTAACAGGATTAAACGGGTACAGAGAAACGATTTTTTTGGTTCAACAGTTTGTGAGCAGAACTTTTGTTTTAACCCTCCTGCTGCCCTAGAGTCAAAATGACTCACAAAGCCTGTTATAAAATGGAAGGCCCCATGGGTCATTTTGACCCAAGGGCAGTTGGAGGGAAAGTGCATGCTCCATCCTGCAGAAAATTGTCATTGTTGAGATTAGGAAAAAAAAACATGTTAATAAAAGGTGGATTTTATTTAAACACAAGCATGAATTTTTGTGCGTTTCGTCTTAATAATTTGAAATTCAGTTTTGTTCTCTTTTAATGTTTTTGACCAAGATAAATCTTTACAGATTTGGAGCTCATTCCAACTTCTTGTCATGATTTTTTTTATTATTATTATTTTATTTGCTGTGATCCTTCACCTATCGTGAGAGTTACGTTCCAGAGACCCCCTGCGGTAGGTGAAAATCTGAACAAATTATGTTATATTTATTTTATAATTTCTATAGATTAAAGTCTTTATAAACACTTTCCACTCTCCTATAAAACTGCTCTTAAACGCTTTGGTGGTGATGGCAGTGAGATTAATGTACAGTACTGCACAGGGTGTATAGTACACACAATAGAAAACGGGTTGGAAAAATGAGATTGAGCGATAACTAATTTTTTTTCTATTGTGCATTCCAACAAAAATCATGCAATACCCAAGTCAAGCCACTAGGTGGCGAGAATGCCCACAAGAGTATGGAAATTGAACACGTTTACTACGTTAAAAGTTTTTCAGTACTAGTTCTTTTGTCAACCATTTCCTCTCGGTTATTGATGATTTCGTTGAACAAAGCTAGACAACAGAATACGGGTAACAAAAGACAGAACAGAAAAAAATGGCTCCATATTTGGGTTTCTTGGGCACAATGTGGCAGATGTAGCACAAAATAGGCAGATACATCATCGCTTTAAAAAGTTTCATCTCTCTTGTGTACACAGATGCACCAAAAGCAAAAAAAACATGTTTTTCTCACCAGAACTTCGTGCATTTACAGTTTTTATACAGCCACAAATGTGTTGTACCAATTCATTACAATTCCAAGAGAAAATGTGAATTTTCTCACCATTTTGCATCCATTCAGTCACCATCAGCCAGTGTGATACTAGCTACTGCTGCATTTTCATTTCCTGTTATTTATACAGGATATTTTTTTTCTACTGTATTCTGTTTTGTAGGATGGTCCCATTGAGATAAGATCTCATCTTCCATAGAGTCCTTTTTGATAAAAACAGCTCAAGACTTTAAACAAAACCACAAACCTGTTGAGTAATGAGATCTTTCAAGTGTCCCAGTCAAAATGGCAACGCAAAGTACAAACTTTCCATCAATAAGACAGATTGTAACTGAACTCTGTTTTGTACAAATTTCAAGGGACAAACAAGCAAATTTTATCGAAGACCCAAAAACAAAAGGAGAGCTCAACCGTTCGTTGAGCTCTTTTGTTTTTGGGTCTCATGTCAGTTTCAAGAAATGTAAAAAGGAAGCCGTGCAGCATAGGGAGCTTTGGACCACTGGTTCATTATATGAAGAAATAGTCTTTTTTTCATAGAAATTACAAGTTACTGAAATATAAATTTTACCAGGATGTTTTATTTAAAAAAAAAATACAGGATTTAACATTTTTAAAACGTTATTTTTTGTGTGTTGCCATGTTTTGGAGCCAGTCTGTGCACAGACTGTAGGGCAATACCCTTGGCAGGGTTGCCAGATAGGACAATTATGTTTTAAAAGTATCATGCTTTGGTCCAAACTGCCGTAATTAAGTGATGGAGCGCTTTTTTGGCCAAGGAAGCACAAGTGTCGAACTTATTCTTGCATATTGTATCGAAATGGTCTAATTATGTAAAATATATTAATCCATTTGATTTATTGAAAACATTTAAAATGTTTTGAAAGAGCCACTGCAAGTGAGGTTCCTAGAGTACTAAAGTAAAAGTACAGTAATTATACATATAAATGTTCTGACACCAGTAGCACATTCTTTTGTTTATTTATTTACAAGAGTTTTACATGAGCTTTCTGTACATATTTGAAATCAGTTGTATATAGAGGTAAAAACAATGTATAATTAAACATTAAAAAACCCAGACTTAGGTCCATGATTGATGAAATGAAGAAGCTTCTTGTCAATGAGAAAAGAGAAGGGAGACCATGTTGCCTGTGTGTCCGTGTAAATTCTTTGACTTGTTAGCAAAATTACTGAAACCACCGGACAGACTTTAATGACTCTCAAAGTAATGAATGGATGAAGGTCTACACCTGATCAACTGGACTCAACCCGATTCAAGATGGCCGCCACGGTTGCTCAATCTCCGCAAAAACAAAAAGGTGGCTACAGTCACATTTACAGCTACTGAGCTAAAATTTGGTGTGGTAGTAGCTGAGAGTCATCCTCAACGCATACTCTGACCTCCAACGAATCACTTAAATATTTACATTTTATTTTTTGTTTCTTGTTTAAATATTATTCTAGTCGAGTTATGGATAAAAGTACTAAGTAAACACAAATAGTAACAAGGAGGTCAGTGTTTGAACTTCCTTGAGTCCTTCACAATAAAAGCTTAAACATATGCACTGTGCGTCATGACTCTTGGCTACTACCACATTAAATTGTTACTCAATATTTGTAGAGTTGACAGTTATAGCCATTTTAGGTAGCTGAGATTATTTAGCTGTGGCAGCCGTCTTGAACCGAGAGTTAATCACTACAGACGTGTATTTAATGATCGGTTCATTAGTCGCTCCAGTAACTTTAGGAGAAATTTAGCTGACAGTCAAATTGGCATTTACATGAAAGCCTGGCGAAAACAAAAAGTCTGAAGTTTTTATTTTATTTTTTACATTAAAAAAAAAACACTACTGTAGAAATGTTCCCGTACTTTTATAGAAATCTTTATTTAAAAAAGTTTAAAACGGCTCCCGTGTGGTCATTAAATAAAGTGTGATGTTATTTACTGAATTAAAAACTGTGTTTTAAAAACGTTGATGAGCAGCTAACACAACTCTGTCCAAATGTAATCACAGCAGTTTGGAGAGTTTCACTCAATAAGTTAGACGAACACTAAACGAGTGAGGAGATCACGTCGAACAACAGTCTGGAGTTACAAAGTCTCATCATTTCAAATTGAAACTCCACAGCTGCTGATTCCATGTGATCAACTGGCCGATGGTCGTTGTGGAGGACAAGAGGACCAGATCCAGACCTCCGAGTCTCAAACACGAGATGTTAACGCATGATCGATCTGATGAAGAGTGGCTCAGCAGCTTCCTGCGGTCTGATCTTAGCATGCAGCTTCGGTCATTTGCACTTCCCGTCGTTTAGAGAAGAGCACCACGTGAGTTCAGGCATGTTGGATACCCAAACAGAGTCCTGACCTAAAGCCTCGTTTCTGCTCTGCTCCGAAGTCCTTCAAAATAAAAGCACGAGACAACACGGCTCAAAGCATCAATCAAACGAGTCCAGGACAAGCAGAAACACAAAAACAGATTTGCAGTCAGTTCTTCTGGGTAACCACTGCAGCGTTTAGCTGATTAATCATTTAGTTGATCAGTTATTTGAGGTATTTTTTTTTTTATCTTAAACCTCGGATGATCGGCAGCTCTCGGAGGTGAGAACATGCAGTTATTTTATGGACGGAGAAACAACTGGTGGAACGAGCGCTCTCCTACGTCCAAATGTTCGGGCTGCCCTGAAATTCCCGCATCGATGTCGGTGATTCCGGACGTTAGGGTGGACGTCCCAACCATCGGAGGCGCAGCATCTTTCACCGTTTATGTTAGAAATGTTGACACAAATTTAAAAAAAAATAAGACATTCAACGGCTGTTTAAGTTGCTGGAATCACAAAACATTTAAGTCTTTTACTGTAAAATCTGAAGTTAGTAACAGATTCCGATCACAGACTAATAAATCGATCGACTAAAGGATCAATGAAGGCTGCAATGGTTCCTGTCTGACAGAAGTGAAGCAGGAACCAGGAGAACCGGTCCATCTGTACCTTCATTCCAGTGGTGTAAAACAAGCGTCCCCTCAGGTGAGAGCAGCGCTCCGATTGGTCAGACGTTGATGACAGCATCGTCCTCATCGTCCCTGGCCTGATCCAATCTTCCTCCCCCCGCCACCACCTCCTCTTCTTCCTCGAGGGGTCCACAGTGCTTGACGACGTACCTGTAGTCTCCTCCCATGGCCAGCGCCGCCCTGGACGCCCCTATGAGCCAGTCCGTCTCTCCGTCCTCCGCCTGTCGCTGCCAGGGGACGCTCCAGCTGGAAGCTTCTGCTGCAGCTTCAGGTTCTAGAGACCGAGCGAGTTCCTGAGGTCCACCAGCTCCTCCTCCCCTGTCCAGCTCCTCGTCTCCTTCCAGGTTGACGTAAAGTAAAGGAGGAGAGGCGGGGGCGAGGTTAAGGTGCAGCCTCTCCAGCTGGACGACAAGCTGCTGAAAACTGGGACGACATTTTGGGACGGGACTCCAGCAGCTGTGCATGATCTCATAACTGAGGAGCAGAGGAGATCTCAGATCAAAAACCAGCTAAAATAACTGGTCTGGTTGAATTGTTACTGAGCAGAGTTGTTCAATAAGTGAAAACAAAACGTGGAAGCTGTGAGTGAAAAACTGGTTCCAAGCCCTGATCCAGCAGCTTGTAGAACTCCTTCAGCAGTAGTGATTTTTTCCCCTTCATCATTGTCCTGTTAGATCATCTGACTCCAGAACCCTTCGGTCTACAGAGGAGTTCCAGGTCCACTCGGTGACTGGCAGGAGCCCAAACCATCATTCCTCCACCACCATGCTGCTAAGTATTCTGGGTAAGCTTCTGTCCTTTGGTCTGGTTCTGGTCCAAAAGTCTTGTGGCTCCTTCAGATGAAACTTTCCAAAACTAAGTCGAGCTGCCATGTTGTTTTTAGAGGAGTCATGACCTTTGACCTTCTGACTGAGGCCTATTGAGTATGAGATGGAGCTCACTGCACAGTCTGACCTTCAGGGTGAACATGCTGTGAAGACTGTCAGCTGTCTGAAATGTTTACAACTTGTGAGTAATCTTTCTCTGTACATGTAGAACGATGGCCTCCAAATGACCTTTGACCTTTCACCGATTGATGGGCGGCAGCAGCTGTTTCTGTGAGATCAGTGCTGATGTCTTTCCACTTTGGTGCTGTGCTAACACACCTGTATGATCCAGATCAGAGGTGGTTCTGATGTGGATCAGTTCATCAGCAGCTCCTGGCTGATCCTGAACCTCAGAGATCCTGTGGATCCAGTTTTTCACTCCCAGCTTTAAGGTTCTGTTGCTGTGAAACGGACTCACATGTCACCTCTGCAGTCCGCGGGTTTCTTCAGCCGCTCTCCTTTGATCAGAAACTCGTAGATCTCAGAGTTTTCCACTCCGGGATACGGAGTCTGACCACGAGTCACGATCTCCCACATCGTTACACCGAACGCCCACTGATCAACAAGAACATGCACGGAAAATCCAAAGTTTAACTTTTTGAAAACTGATCCATTTGATTCATAATTCACCAAGCGCCCGTGTGTGTGTGTGTGTGTGTGTGTGTGTGTGTGTGTACCACGTCGCTCTGAGTGGTGTAAACGTTGTCAGCCAAACTCTCCAGAGCGATCCATTTGACAGGAAGCTTGGAAACGGATCCCTGGCGATAATAATCTCCGCTGTAGATCTTTTTGGAGAGGCCGAAGTCTGCCACACACACCGACATGTTCTCATTCAGCCTGAAACACACACACGGTTCACTTCACCTGCATGCTGAACCATAAAAGTTAAGACTTGTTTTACATCAACACTAAACTTATAATTTAAAATATATATTTTCCAGAATAAAACTAGAAAAGGAGACATTTAAAAGGCTGAGAATTAAAAAGAAAATTCAGATTCTATTGTTTGTAGCAAACTAGAATAAGTAGAAAAAGCTTAGTTATGGGTTAATTCTGTGACTTAATCGTTTTACGTGTCGATAATAACTCATGATATAAAAACGTAGCATCTAAACATGTTATAATAAACATGTTATAATAGGCCAGAGTTTTAAACAGATTCTGTTTTTGTAGAGAAATAGGCAAGTCGAGGCTGTTCTGGTCGAACAACTCTCAGGGACCGACATGCAGTTTCGTGCGGCGAGGTCTCTGTGAATGATGCTCTTGCTGCTCAGATACTCCATCCCCCGAGCGACATCCAACATGAACTGGACCAGGGTCTGCAGGGACAGGTCCTGGGAGACAGACGGCACATTCTCAGTGGTTTAGAGGACACCAGGTGAGACGTGAAGTCCGGATCAGATCCTTACAAACGGCTGGTCTCCCAGGCGGGACAGCAGCAGGAAGGTGTGCAGGTCGCCGTGCTTCATGAAGGGCAGAACCACCATGGGGATCGGCAGCCGCTGGCTCGGGCGCCTGTGTAGACTCACTCCTGTTGGACAGAGACAAACCAGGGATTAAAGAACCCTTAGCCCCTGTCCTGACCCGTCCTGTACGGGTTTTGGACTACTTCAGCGTACATTTAGCTATTCGGATTATTCAGCTATAGCACCATGCTTTGTTTAAGTGCATGCTACGTTTTGCTTTATGATGCAATAAATGTGCAAATATTAATATACATTAATATGACCACATTAAAGTGTAAATAAAGAATTCTGGCTCCTGGTTTTTTATTATTTACCAATGAGCTTGATGACGTTGGGATGGTTGAAGTCCTTCATGTACGCTGCCTCCTTCAGACATTGTTCGATGTCACCTGATGAGGTGATGTCAGCTGACACACACACACCTAACTGATTAAAAACATTTTCTCTTCACAAATTGAAACATTTTCATGCAAAACACAAAGTCTGAATGAGAAAACGTGCTGGATTGAATATAAAGAGACATGCATGTGTGTGTAAACAAAGAAAACAAAATGAAGTAGTGTCCGTCTTACATTTTAGCACTTTGACCGCCACCTTCTGGACCGACATGTCTGCAGACTTCAGAACAGCCTCACGCACTGAGCCAAACTCACCTACACACACACACGCGCGCGCGCGCACACACACGTGCGCGCACGTTAATTTGTCATATTTTCATTGAGATTCCTCAGTTAGGATATTAAGTTTTCTCATCATCTGAATGCTGCGTCCACGTCACTAAACTTTTTGCTTTTTATCCATTCTTAACTCAAAAAGTTCATCAGACGCGGCTGCCGTGACTTTTTACTTGTTTATTCTTTATAATTGTTTAACCCGTTTTAAATTTATTTACAGAGAAATACATTGAGGTCTCTTCAGTTCTTCAAAAGTTCTGCCTCAACTCGTTTGCTTTATTATTAATCATCACAGCTTTGATTTAAAGCTCATTACAAACAACACAACAGAGGGACGTGTGCACGTGCTGCTCTTTTACACCCTCACTTGGTTACAAAACGACAGCAGCTGGGTACGAAATGTTTGTTTTTATGTTCAGACCCTCAGCACCTCGCCTCAGAGACACAACCTCCTGTTCATGTGTCGTTTTGTTGGCTCACCTTTTCCCAGCATGTAGCCGAGGGTAAGAAGTCTGTCTGGAATCAAGACGTCCTGCAGCTTGTTCTTCAGCTCCTCGTTGATGCACAGACTGTCCACTGAAGGGCGCAGGAGACACACAAGTCCAGGAGGAGACACACACAGGAAGGACAGAGGCAGATGTGAGGCGTTCAGACAGACTGGCATCAGTCAATACGAGTTTCCAGCAGAAGGAAGTCGCCTCAGTAAACACGTCCAGAAACACACGGATCTGCTCTGCCTTCAGACCAACCTCTGTATTTTAGTACCGTAGTACTGTAGTACTGAGGATCGTACTTGTGGGGGTAACTAAACCTTAAGAGTGCTGAGGAAGCTGTTCACTCACGGGTGGATTCCTGCAGATCGCTGGTGTTTCTGCTGAACGAGCGAGCTGCTGTGAACGAGACCAAACTTTCAGGACCAGGACCTTTCAGGGCTGAACTGAAAGACAGAAACAAAAACGACAAACGTCAAAGTTCATGTTCAATAATTCAGGTAAAATAAATCCAACTAAGTTAAGTCAGGTCTTCTGGACGGTGTTTGTGTTGAAACGTTTCGTCCTTTATCCAAAATCATCAGTTCGAGGAGCTACAATAAACTCGGTTTTAAAAGCACCTTCTCATAGTGGGTCAAGCAGTTTGATGGTGCTACGATGGTTTCTGGAGTCCGCCCTCTCTCCCGTCGACTCGTCTGAGGCAGCCATAGCCAAAGATGCTCAAAACATCAAAGTTCATGCTCAATAATAGTCAGCCGCAGAGTGGGCAGACTCCAGAAACCATCTTAGCACCATCAAACTGGTTGACCCACTACGAGAAGGTGTTTTTAAGACCGAGTTTATTGCGGCTCCTCGGACTGATGAAGATTTATAGATGAAAGACAAAACATTTCAACACAAAGAAACCATCCAGAGGACCTGATTCAACTTAGTTGAAAAAAGACAAACGTAAAACTTGGACTCGTCACGCTCAGCAGCGCTGCCGGCTCCCGGCTGATGCCAAATCTTTGTGCCGTTTGTGGCTTCGTACCCAAACTGCGTCTCTTTTCTTCGGCGCCGAGCTACGATCGCCAGCAGCAGGCCGACCACGGTGGCCACCAGCAGACCGAGCAGGAGGCCGACCCACATGTGGCTGCGCCGCACCTGGATCTGCGCTGGAGGGACCAGGAGACAGGCGGTCAGAAAACATTAAAGGTCACGGAAAACAGCGGCAGGGATGTAGGACTCTGACCCAAAGCCCGCCCGTCTAGGACGGCTCTCTGAATCTAACGCACAGGCTTGAACCAAAAGCCCCATCCATCAGGGTTCAGACTGAAGACCCACTGAGAGCTCACCTGAGGCGGGCAGCACCAGCACTGGGGGGCTCCAGGGTCCGCAGCCCACCGAGGTGCAGGCTGAGACCTGGAAGGAGGCGTTGAAGAAACGGCCCCCGCCTGAGAGACGAGCAGAGTTCTGCTTGAACAGCAGCGGCTCCTGAAAACATCAGGATCCAATCAAAGTTCTGCAGTTTTCACAGCCACAGGGGGTCCACCCCCGTTCAGTTCCAAGGTTTCAGGACACAAATGCAACCGATTGTGAAGTGAACAGAAACACAGCAGAGTCCACCGTGTCATTAGATCTGGTTTCATGTACATTTTGTTTTTGTCAATCTGTTCCCTTGAGGTCAGATTAAAGATTAATCCGAAGCAACAAAAACCTCTGGTGTTAAAGCGTTCACCTGTTCTTCACCTCCCAGAGTCCACTGCAGCTTGTAGGCCAACAGGTTTCCTCGAAGCTCTTCCTCCCGAAGCTTTGCCCACCGGACCGACAGCTGCTGCTCTGAGAGGTCAAAGGTCAGGTTCCTGGGGGCGGCGGAGGGCACTGCAGCCAGGATTACAGAGACACCCCCATTTAATAAAACGCTGTTCTTATTGTGTGAATGTTTGTGAAGGATTCACTCTAATGTGATCCATTTGTCTTAGGTACGTTTTTCAGCTTCGTCCTCGTTCCACAATGTTTGTGCCATTTCTAGAAATCAGATCAAAACGTTCAGCTCATTCGGGACAATCCTGCTATGACGTTTGGTGTTGGTGCAACTTTAGCTTTTTCAAATATTTAGCCTTTTCTGCCATTTTTTTTTCTCATAGAAAATGAATTGAGCTCATTTTACACCCGTCAGAACTTTAGATCTGTTTACAACCTTTCACTGCTCCTTTCACATTTTGTTCCGCTTCAGCTTCCTCGTGCAAATGTAAACATTTGTCAGCTACTTTCAGCTGTTTTTTTTAATTCAGCTGTTTTGTGCTCTTTTAGATTCTTTCTGCTAACTACAACATTCCTGTGCTTCTTCTAACTTCTTTCTGCTAATTTCAGCACGTTATGATCCTATCTGCTTATTTATGCAAGTTTAATCTTTTTCTGCTATTTCAGCCACTTTTCAGCTGTTTTATGCTAATCTTAACTTTTTCAACTAATTTTACTTTTTTTTGCACTCATTTCATCTTTCTTCAGCCTAATTCAGCAAAAATATGCTCTCTCAGCTACCTTCTGGCAATTTAATCTTCTTTCTGCTTTTTAGCTGTTATTTGCTAATTTCAGCTTTTTTCTGATAATTTCTACTTTTTTGTGCTCATTTCTGTTTCTTTCCAATTGGGCAAATGTGTTTTTTCCGCTTTCTTCTGGTAATTTAAGCTTGTTCCACTTTTGCTGCTATAGCTTTTTTGCATTTTTTAAGCTAATTTCAGCTATTTTCAGATCAATTTAAGTTTTTTTCTGATAATTTCTGATACTTTCAGCCTAATTAACTTCCTTCTGTTAATTTCAGCTTGTTATAGTCCTTTCAGCTTTTTCTGCTACGTTTGTGCTAAAATTATATCTTTCAGCTAATCCCACGTTTTTTAGCTCATTCACCTCTTTCCACTTCCTTCTGGTAGTTTCAGTTTATTTCTAACTTTTCAGCTACTTTCCTGCCATGTTTTGCCAATTTCAGCTTTTTTTAGCTAATTTTCTTATTTTTGTGCTCATTTCTGCTTATTTAAACCCAATTCAGCAAACGTGTTCTTTTCTGCTTTCTTCTGCTAACTTAAGCATGTTCTTCCATTTCAGCTAAATTTCAGCTGTATGTCAGCAAGTTCTTCAGCATTTTAACAGGAAATTTTATTTCTCTAGTTTTGTTCCAGTTGCTCTGTTGACATGCAGTGTTGCAGCCAGAAGATGAAACTGGGTCAGAACCGAACAAGCAACTTAAGCATTCCAGCAGGTGGCGCTGCGAACACTCCTGACCATCTTTCACATGGATTGAGGCCACAAACAAAAGCTCATTGTACAGAGGGGCCAGGAATCTGTTGGATCAGGTCCAGCTGGAACCCCCCCCCCCCCCACACACACACACACACACACACACACACACACACACAGAGTCCAGCTGGAAGCAGGGGACCAGCAGCTCCTCTGTTTACTGATGAAACACTTCACTGTGAAACCCATCAACAACAAGGTCAGCACAGATAAACACCTGGTTGGACCCGATCGGACCTGCAGAACTGTAGCCAAACAAGAAGCTAGGAACCTCTGATCACACAGAAACACCGTGATCCGCCTCACCTGACTCGGGAGTGACGAAGAGCAGCCACGAGGAGAACTGGGACGCCCCCACCTGGTTGACACAGGAAACCCTCGCGCTGTAGTTGGAGTGGCTCCTCAGACCCGACAGGGTGTGGGCGTAAGGAGGAACCTGGACCTCCTGCTGAGGCTGAGCCTCCCTGCGGACCGCCAGCCTCACCACCTAAGGAGGAAGAGGAGGAGGTCTGAAGAGTCTGCTGCAGGTCTCATTGTCTCATCGTATTTTATGTGCGGACGGTACCTGGATGATACAGGTGGAAAGCTCAGAGTGACCAGTGAATCCTGGTTTCCATGACAACGTGACACTGTTGTCAGTCATCGAAAGGATGTGAAGACCACCGGGGGCCTCCGGCAGCACTGAAGAGACAGAAACCAGAGATCAGCAGACGGACGGTCTGCCTGTTCACTCCTGGATTAGCTTTGTTTATTAGAAGCTTCTAAACTTTGTTAAAGTTGATTAAAGTTGCATAAATGACTGGACGTCATCAGAATAAACAAAAACAGCATTTATTTATTTTTAACTCTATGAACACTGAAGTGTTCTTATGAACATGTAAATACTCAGAGGACTCATGGTCCAGTTCTCTCCGTCGTCACACATGAGGTGCCGCCGCCGCTGCTGCTTCGAGCAGCCAGGGAGCGACGTGAACTCCCGTCACATTCTGGCCTAAATTTGCTCTCTACTCTCACTGCAGACCCCAAACGGACACCCCTGCTCAGAATCAGTCCAGGTCCAGCAGGTGGACTCACCTTTGATGTGAACCGTTCCTGTTCGGGACACAGAGATTCCTCGGGCGTTCTTTGCTTCACAGTAAAACTTGATGCTGCTGTTCACACCTGCAGACACACACACAGAGTTTCTGTGAGAGGACCGTGGTCTTGCTGCAGCCTCACGCTGAACCCCTGACATTTCCTGCTCTCTTGTTTTGTTCAGTTTGGGCCTAATCAGCTGTTTATGACGCTCTGCCCATCAGAAGTGACCTTTGGATTAAATCCAGACCTCATGAGGCCGACTCAGAGCTCCAAGGTGTTTAAAGCCACCAGAACCCGAGCCGTGTCTGCAGCAGAGCCTGCAGAGCTCAGAGGCTGGTTTGTTGCTAGGAACACATTGAAGAAAGGAAACAAAAACATTATTGATGCTCTGAAGGTTCCTCTGAGCTCAGTGGGCTTCAGCGTTGTTAAAACTGCTCACCCGACCAAACTGAGCAGCAGAGGTAGAAATTCAGGAGGTTCTTGTTTTTTTTTGTTCTTCTCAGGTGTAGGTGCGTCTCTGCATCTGTTGGAGCTTTAGGAAGGGGCGGGGCTTACAGCAGCGCTCGTTGAGGACAGTGAATGTAGAATGATTGGTGCCTTCATGTGCAGCCTCTAAAAAAAGTCTTCAAACACACCAGAATAAAGTAGCTATAAATGTCGCTAATCACTTATATATATAT